TGATCTTGCAGGTATCTCTGCACTCAAAGTTTTTTTTAGTCATCATTTTGACATGAAGGATCTTGGGTGCCTCAATTATTTCCTCGGCTTGGAGATTTTCTCTGATTCAGATGGTTATTATCTCTCCCAACCCAAGTATTCCTCTGACATTCTTGCTCGTGCTGGACTCACAGATTGCAAGACCGCTTCCACTCCTCTTGAGACCAATGTCAAGCTCACTCCTCTAGATGGTACACTGCTCAGTGATGCTACATTGTATCGACAGTTGGTTGGCAGTTTGGTCTACCTTACTGTTACCCGACCTGACATCGCCTATGCTGTGCATCTTGTCAGCCAATTCTTATCTGCACCTCAATCTACTCACTATACTGCCGTATTATGCATCCTTCGAAATCTCAAAGGCACTATGTTTCAGGGCCTTCACTTTTCTTCTCATTCTTCACTTGAGTTACGTGCTTCCTCTAATGCTGATTGGGCAGGTGATCCGACTGACCAACGTTCTACAACTGGCTGCTACTTCTTCCTTGGGAACTTTCTAATTTCTTGGCGTAGCAAAAAGCAGTCCATTGTCTCCCGATCTAGTACAGAAGCCGAATACTGTGCCCTTGCTGACTCCACACAAGAACTTATTTGGCTTCGATGGCTTTTAACAGATATGGGTGTTTCTCACTTCACTGGCACTGTTCTCTATTGTGATAATCAAAGTGCCATTTACATTGATCATAATGATGTCTTCCATGAACGCACTAAACATATTGAAATTGATTGTCATATTGTGTGTCACCATGTGGCTCGGGGTACTGTACATCTTCATTCTGTCACTTCCGTTGATCAGACCGCTGACATCTTTACCAAAGCTCATCCACCAGGCAGATTTTGAGAATTAATTTCCAAACTCAAGTTGGTTTCTGCTCTCCCACCTTGAGTTTGCGGGGGGATGTTAGCATAATTACATAGCCGTTACTATATACTATTCATAGCAGTTGTGTATACTGTTCATAGCCGTTGTATTTTATCTCCTATATATATCTACTCGTACATGTTCTTTTTTATCAATACAAATGTAACCTCTATTTGTCTCTTACTCTTGTATCCAACAATATATATATATATATATATATATATATATATATATATATATATATATATGTAAACTTATGTAAAGTCTATGTTTTGGGAATATAGCTACGCAGTTCCTGTCAAAGGGTATTCCATTCATATTTAATTCATGGATCGTCAGACACCTCACTGAAGAAGACTACGCGGTAACCATTCTTATTGATATTATTGTTGCTGATATACTTTCTCAGCCATTTTTGAGTTTTTGACTATTAAATTAGATTCATTAGTCCATATTATAACGAAATTTATTTTTATTGGGGGTGTTTAGCAATGCTATTTTTTCCCTTTAAAAGAGGATTGTTATAAACTATTATTGATGCTTGTGAACAGAGTTTTTGAGTTGTTAATTCCCCTTTTTTGTGATTTTTGTTACTTGTTATGTGTGTACATCAGAATTGTATGTGTGTATGGGAGGGAGTGTGTGTGTATGTGTGTGTGTTGGTGGGGGGGTTCTTGAATGTAACTGCAACTTTTGTGCACATTTAGAATACATATGGGGAAAATTAAGTATGACTACAATGTATGTCCTAGATAGCTGAGATGTTTCTGAGTTCTCAGAAAATGTATGCAATGCAATATACTTTGTTCATTAACCTTGGGCTATCTTTGATTTTTTAAGCTGATGCCTGATAGCTCTCATAGCTCATTGTAATCATTCTACAAAACATGATTAATATTATTTTGTTTTCTTATCTAAGGTTATCATGTTTTAATTAGTTATTGTTATTATTTTTCATTATATGTTGGTCATAACTGTCTGTGTTTAGTTCACCTTGTTGAAAGAAGTGGAGGCTTGAAGCTTACTTGTCTCGCTCGTAATAAATTTAATTTTCTTTAATTTTTCATTTAAGTTTGGACTATTTTCTAGTGGTTTCCGAAAGTATGCTGACGAGGCCGCTTGTGAACGCCAAAATAATGTAGTGAATGTGCGGTTCAAGAAAAGCCTTTTAGGTCAAGTTTAAATTTATAAAAACCACTACCAACACTACTACTAACGTAGCAAGAGTGAGTAGGGATCGTCCCAAGGGATTATACGTGTTGGAATTTAACTTCAACTCTAGCGTATCAAAAGATTGCAAAGAGAGAGATTGGTTTGATTAAACTAAGGTGCAATGAAATTAAAATGCAAGTAAAGTAAACTAGTTAGAGATAGGGATTTAAGAGATATGAAGAGAGGTCTTAGGGTGTTGGAATCACCACTAAGCTCATGTAATTAACCACTTGCTTTTCATTAATGGGGAATACATTGTTGTGAACAAAATGCGACTACCAATTGCAATATTAAGCATTGACCATCTAATTTATGTATGAATTGTCTACCTAAACTAAGTGTAGCACAACCCATCAATTTTAAGCATGACCCATCTAAGTAGCAACAATTGTAGCACACATCAATTTAGAGAATCATGGAATTTGCAATATTAAGCATGGACCATATAATTTATGTATGAATTGTCTACCTAAACTAAGTGTAGCACAACCCATGAATTTTAAGCATGACCCATCTAAGTAGCAACAATTATAGCACACATCAATCTAGAGAATCATGGAATTTGCAATAATAAGCCATAGAATATCTAAGCAAGCATAGATTGTCTACCTACCTACAAGCATGAATTAAATTGTAGAACAACCCATCAAGCATAAGTATAAACCATCAAATTAATTAATAAACCCATTCAATGAAACCCCATGCTTAGCCATCACTAGATTTTCAATCAACCACATATAAACATGCAATTAATATAGAAAAACTAGTGTAGAGATTAATTCCCAAATAATCACACATAAGACAACATATAATCAAATAGAGAATCAATAGAAAGAATTAATCCATATGAATCATGTAAGAAATAATTCCTAATTTAATCACACATAGACATGTAAATAAACTAGAGAATTAATAGGAAGAATTAAACCATAGAAATATACCAAGATTCATGAAATTCACAAGGCTAGAGCACTAATCACAACAATAGATATATAAATCCCCAAAAATAGAAATACAAGGTTTTAGATTACACAAGACTTAGGGCTCATCTAAGCCCTAAGTGTAGATCTAGCCAATCATGGAGGAGGTGGATGTGGTCATGGAATCAAGCTCCAAATATGGCTCCATCTTCTTCTTCCTCTTCTTCTTTTTCTTCTTTGAAGCTCTAGAGATGGAGAGATAGTGGGTATAGAGATGGGTTCTTGAGATGTGCCTCCACTTCCCTCTTTTCTTCTAATCCTAATCTCTAACTTTGCTAGAGAGAGAAATAAAAATTACAATGTAAAAATAAAAAGAAAAAGCTCCTTTACAAAATGAGTTACTTCCCTTTATATAGAAGGTCTTTTTTCTTAGTCATTAAGTCAGGAATATAGGCCCAAAAATATCTAATTCCGTACTATGTGATAGGTGGACTTTTGGGCGCGCACGGAATAAGACAGCTCGCTGCCAGCAAAAGTTCGATCGATCCAACTTTGATTTTCGATCGATCCAACTTTTCTCAAAAAGTTGGATGGATCCAACTTGACAGATTTTCAGCATCAGTCTCTTTTTGCTCCAAATCATCCTCCTTTTGTTCCGGATCATTACTAAGACTTAGTTTGACTCCAAAAAGGCTTTAAGAAACCATTTTTAGCCCATTTTAGCTTTATTGACTAAAAAAGAAAATAATACAAGATTAATCTAAAACGAAAAAATAAGATAGATAAAGGTCCTAGAATACTCAAGTTTAAGGGGTTTAAAAGTGTACTTTTCAGCGCTCATCATATGCGGTTCAAGCTGTATTCTCACATTTTTCTTGTCCTTTCTCCACTGTAGCTCTATGCTGTGCAATTTCATTTGTTTGTCACCTGTGTATTATTTCTTAGCCGGGAGGGTTTCCGGCAAGCATGCATGACGGTGGACATCAGATGGTACTGCCTCATGCTTATAATGCAATTACTTATTTCCCTTATCTGGTTTTATATATATATATATATGTAACAATAAGGAAAAATACTTATATATATATATATATATATATGTAAGTATTTTTCCTTATTGTTACATTGCTGTTGCAACTGTTTTACTTGTCTGCTTATTTGATTGGTCTTACGGCTTTGCTGTAACTTGTCCTTGCAACTGTCACTTGCACACTCTGTCTCTACGAGGACTTGGACCCTCAACCTCTCACTATGGAAATTGAGGAGATACCACTATACTAAAACCCACAATGGTCCTAAAGTTGTCATTGGACAGGTTTTTTGTTTGGGCTTAAAGTTACATCATTGATAGTTTAAAAGCATTTGGTCTAAAATTTGGGGTCCACGATCACTATAGTATTATTTAAATATAAATCCAACTTCAAAAAATAAAAAACACTAAAATTATGATCAATTGTGCTTGTCTAAATCCTTCGACCATTGACTTATTGCTATCTGCCCAGGATGCCCACGCCTACTAAGACCTTGTTCGCATGGCGAAGAAGGGTTAATTGTAAAGGGATATTCGTGACTGGTCTTATCTTTATTTATTTTGTTGAGTTTCCTATGAGCTCGAGTGAGATTATAAATGCACGAGATGCTGAGGTTGAGACCTCTAGGTTTAAAGTAAGGGAGCTAACTTGTAAAACAGATATAACATGTAGATCCCTAACCAACTTTAAAATATGGATCTCCTTCTGGATGGATTAACATTCTAACATTTTATTTGTTTCAGAATATATTGAATCTGACTAAATATGGTTTTTGATTTGAATGAAATGAACACTTGCGCTTTATCTCTTTGACACGTGGCTTATCAAGGAAACCTCGACATTTTCATTTATAAAATCATATGTTTCGGTATTTTATGTTTGAGTATGATCTTAAAAGGGCTTCTGTTCTTACTTCTTTTGTTGCAGTGATGATGATTCAACAGGAGTAAATGTAGCAAAGCTTTTGAAGATAGCGTGGATGACTCTCCCCTTGGGAATAATTATCACACTTGCAGCATGTGTATTTGTCTTTTGGTGGCAAGACCTAAGTTATTCTAGTCCATATGCGCAAGCTATCTTGATTAACGGTAATCTTTAATTTATGCTCAACACTCCTTTAATGCTAGTGTAGTACAGGCTAGGTTATTTATATTATTGAAAGATGTATTACTGTAAATTTCATTTATGAGCGTCAAAAATAGCTGATGGGGCCATATTGAGTATCAAATGGTGCATCTGCGTGTGTATATATATTGAAATTTTTGGCAATTGGGACGACAAACTTTTGTAAAAACAGCTGGAGTTGGCATGCATCAAATGTCAATGTCTGAGCAAACATACCATGGAGATCTAAATATCATTCATTTGGTGTTAAATGAATGAATGTTCGTTTAATGTTACTATTACTCTATCAAAAAACTTCATGTTTGATGTTGGTTCATTTATTTTGGCAGGTTTTGCATGTATTGCGGAGCTATTGGCAGAACCCTTCTATATTCTTTCACAGAACTTGCTCCTCCTCAAACTGCGGCTAATGGTTGAAACTGCAGCTACTCTTTTGCGTTGTATGACAACCTACATCCTCATTATCAAGCGAACTGACATGGTACGAAGTTCAAGCGGGTTATGTTGCCAACCTTTGTGGCTTACGTTGTTACATCTTTTTGGGTTGTTAAATGAGTTGAGCAACTGGTGGGCAGCTTGATATTGGCTCATCAAGAGAACATTTGGGCTGGCTCATAAGTACGAATGAGCTAAGCTCAAGCTCAGACTTCAGGCTTGCCAGGAAATCAACCCTAGAGCTCAGGCAGCTTAGCAGGTTCTTTAAGGCCTTCACATACGCACTTTTAATGGCTTTTTGAGAATTTAGACCTTTTTAGATGGTATTTTGAAGCGGACAAGATGTTACTTTAATCAATACCTTTCGAATTATGTTTTACTTTAAAAATTATAATGCATGCTGACAGCATTTTATTCTATAGAGACAGCTACTTTTTTCTGTTAGACCATGTGTTCGCACTTGTTTGCTCATCTGACGTGTATGAGCCGAGCATGAATGTCCTGTAAATTTCCCAAACTGAGCTTTAGCTAAAATTAGGTTGAGCTCAAGCATCACATAAGGTGAGTCTAGTCTAGCCGAGCTCAGCAATGCATAGTTGGTTCAGCTCATCTCATTTTCAACCCTAGGTCTTGAATCTTATCTTTTACCATCGACTTGGAAGCTAATCTAGAACTTGTGATTTCTTAACTTGTCTTTATTGTTACTCTCTCAAGTTGAATTTGATAATATTTTTATTCTCCCTGACTCTTACTATATTTGGATTTTATTTTGCACTGGAATGAAGTTGATTCTTGTGTTCTTTTTTGGTAATGAAAATAATTCTTGTTGTTTGACGTCTTCTATTGCTCTACATTTGGGAATTTTTTGGCACTGAATTGAAGACAATTTTTCTGTTGTTTGGCCTGCATGAACTTGAACTCCTCTATTTCTATATTCTCTCATCTGGACAACCTTGCAAGCCGTAGATCATGGGCTTGGTATACCACCTTTTTCTTCTTTTTCTTTTCTGCCCTTGTAATTCATGCGGAATGGGTATATAAGATTTTCTTTTGTTAAATTCTAATGGTTTACAAAAAATATGTCTTAGAGACAGATGCTAATATCAATATCTAAACATGGGCTTGCAGGAGAAAGCGATTGTATTTGCATTAACTCAAACTGCTTATGGAGCTTGTTCGTTCTTTGGTTGTTGGGGATACTTTCTTCTTTCTCGTGCATTCCAAAGTTCTGATCTCTTCCCTTTCAGGTATACTTTAGTTTATATTAAATATCATTACCTCCATTGACAAATATACTGTAATTGTTACAACAAAAGAACAAGAAAAGAAAAAGCTTTAGTTTACATTGAAATGAAGATATACGTACGTTGTGACGTTTCCGATTTTTTTTGCCATTTTTCAATTTTTTGAAAATTTTGTTGCCGCAAAGGTATTTCTGTCATTTCACGTTTTGCGTACGGGATTGTGGTTGGGTCCAATTGCAATTGGTACATTTAAATTCATGTGGACTAAGTGGTATGTGCATGTGGTGCAGTGTACATATTATGTGGTGCAGAATTTTGTGACAAAAGAATAATGGAAAATCAAAATTTGAAGTGGAGGGACCCACCACTAATACATTAGTGGTTTAGAGACCACTCATTCTCTCTCATTTTTCTCTCTCCTCGTTTCTTCCTCTCTCTCTCCCTCATTTCCCTTCATTTTTCTTTTCTTTTGGAAGCCAAACTTTGGATCTTAATTTCTCTCTCATTACATGGTAGATTTAAGTGCCGTTTAAAGCAAAACGGAGAGCACGACGAACTCTACACGTGAGTACAAGCAATTTCAATTTTGGTACTCCCTAGAGACTTCGAAATTTGGATCCATTTTGAGGGTTTTCGCAATTTTAAAAGGTAGGGATTTCTAATCCATGAGTTCTTGCCCCCTAGTGAATTAATCATTGTTAATTGATGCTTAACATGCTTAATTGAGTTGATTACCTCTAATAATGATTTGGTTTTGTAAATGAGATTCATGTTTATGTGTATATGTGGTTTTGTGAGACAAAGATGCTTAGATGTTGATTTTACATGCTTCAATATTTATATCTTGGTAGAATTTGTTATATGGAAAGCGTGTCTATGTGTAGCTTCCATTATGCTTATGGTGCTAGTAATTTCTTTGTAAATTGTTGAATGGGAGCATGTTAAATTGTGTATTGTATGAATCTTTCTTGTATCATGGCATCATGAAAGCATATGATGATCATGCATGTGATTGGGTATCAAAATGGGAAAGAAATTGTTTGATACAAAAATGGGAACTTTTGGGGGAAACAAGTTTTGATGAAAAAGAGTTTTGAGAAAACCCGGTCGCTACGGAGTCACCAACGGGCCGGTAGATTAATGTAACCTAGAGGGAATTAGGGAGATTGCCCTAGCGTGGTTGAGCTATCTAGACCCCATAATGACGCTGCAGAGTCACCAAAGGTCAGGGACAGTAGCCAATCCTTCTTTCAGCGCTGCGGAGTCACCAAAGGGGGTTACATTAACAGTTTGAAATTGGTGGATTTGAATTGTTGAAAATGGGGAGCGACATTAACATGCACTGCATTTCATTGCTCCATATTGATTGTGTTGAGACTGTATGTTATGTTGTATTTTCCCTACACAGTATGACCCCGATTCCTATTGTCCTATTCCTTATTTGGGTTCACGAGGACACAAGATGCGTGTCTTAGGTGCCACCTACTGAGCAATTTGCTCACCCTATATATTTATATTTTTTTTTTTTCAGGTCTTGGAAATAAACTGGTGGACGACAATCCACCTCAAGCTTGAAAGTTGTTAGAAGGTTGTTTGTTATTTTGTATTTTGACCATTCTATGTATATTCATAGTTGTGGAAATGTAATTAAGTTAGTATTCATGGCCTTGTAACTTAAGAACGAACTTATCTTTTGTTTGATGTAAATAAAACTAATGGAATTATGGTATATATATTTCCATGCAATTATATCATGTAACGTTGTAAGACGGGGACTTTAAATCTCAACCATGTATTTTGGGACTGTAATTATGATAATTTAAATTAATTGGTGTGTGGATGTTCCTGTTGGGAAACGTGCAAGTTTTTAAAGCTTTTTGAGGGATTTACAATCATGGATCTTGATTCATCATATAGAGACAAGTTTTATGCAAAGATAAATAAAAGATGATATATAATTCAATAAACAGATTGAATACTTACATCAAAGGGCTGAGTAAACCTTTTGAACTTTCCTCTAAAAGTGAAAGTTCTCACTTATTGTAGATCCCTTTAGCAAGATCATTTCTCATTCTTCTTGATTATTACCTTCCCTTTAGGAATCACCAATATGCCTTGATGAATAACCTTGGAATCTAGACTTGTGGTAGCCTCCTTTAGAAGAGAAAACTAAACCCTAAAATCTAGAGAGAGAAAGTGTATTCCTTTTTTCTTGTTCTAAAAGTCACACCTAAAATATACATGAACTCATATATATATAGGCAAAATAAAAATAAGAATAAGGAAACAATAAATCATTCTCCATTTCTAATTCAACTTTCTCAATTCTAACATGACTCCAATATCAACTTGAGCTATTGATGAGAATCCTTTTGGGCTTACTATTTTCTTGGCTCCTATAAATTAATAATTGGTCCGGTCCATTAAACCATGGACCCAATTCAATTAATTCATAAATTAATTTCTACTCCACTAAAAGAAATTAATTTCACTCCAATTAAATAGTAAATAACCTCTAAGTCAATGTTGCACTTTGACCACTCTATGCTTAATTATTTATCGGATAATTAAATCCATCAATCCGACAACATAATTAATATAATTATTTTGTTACCTTTGATTATTTCCGGCTCGATCACAATAAAATATTTATTTGACAAAAAAATAATAATAATTTATTAAATAAATATATATAGAAAACATTTGTCTAAAACATACGAAGGCCTTCGAATTTAATTTGTGATCAACTATAATTAAAACAAAATAAATACAAATAGCACTGATGCAAATATTGAGAATATAGACCTCTAATTATTAATTACATAATTACCCAAAGTGTCGATCTAAGGATCCCGAGATATCCGCCGAACAAATCAAAGTAATTATTAATTAATAAAAGAGTCTATACTTCTCTCATGCTTGAGAGTCAAAAGCCATGACTGTGATAGAGAGCAATTGCATACGACAGCTCTCGCAATATATCTCAATCTATCGTGGACTCGGTTTAAGTCTTAACTAATTAAATGTCCATCCATAATTACCGACTTTAAACCATTTATGATTACTAATTTATAACATAGTATTAATTGCCATTACATACATATATAAATATATTTTGTAATCAAGCGGACACAATCAATTCCATAATGAATCGAAAAATAATACATTCCATTCACCAATTGTATAATGCTTTAATAATAATATCCAAATAAGAAACCATGACTTTTACAATCCAAAATTAGAATTTGCTATGCTAGGGCACATATATCCTAACAGTTCCACCATGAGAGGAACTAAGTTAAGGCATGGTGAATGGATGAAAGGGATGTTAGAATGTATTATATGTTTATTGTGCTGGGACAGGTTAGAAAATTCATTTAAACAGGTTGTGGTAGGCCCATTTTTAGGGGAGGTTATGCAAATTTTTTTTAAAATTTTGGCATCAGCTAGGGTCGTTACATATGTAAAATGTAGTGAAATTACAAAGTCTGTTTCGAATTTCTCATGTTTGAAGAATTCCTAAGATCTTATCTAGTGTCTGTCTTGTTCACTTTGTGGACACCGAACTGTTTCCCTCTATTGCTGCTTGATTGAGCAAAGCTTCATGAAAAGCTCTGTTCGTCGACCATATGACAGGGACGTAAACTATACAACACTCTTATTCTTTCAGCTAGAAACCATCACTAACTTCCTAAAACAACCATTTCCTTAACTATAAATTGTTTTCCATTATGAATTTTAAATTGTTATTTTTTTTTATTTTCTTTGTGGGGTCAAACAATAGGATGAAGCTAAACTCCTTGATCTCATTGAACGAATGGGGGGCATCAAGGCCACATTCAATTTTGAGCACTTGGCACCTTCAACTGTCAACTCAACAGAGTTTTGTCCCAACTATTTGGAATTCGTTACATTAACAGTATTCGTTGTTATGTATTATCTAAGGCCATAATTTCTCTTAAATAACACGCAATCACACAGACAACCATTTCCTTAACTATAAATGGTTTTCCATTATGAATTTTAAATTGTTATTTTTTTTTATTTTCTTTGTGGGGTCAAAAAATAGGATAAAGCTAAACTCCTTGATCTCATTGAACGAGGGCATTAAGGCCTCATTCAATTTTGAGCACTTGGCACCTTCAACTGTCAACTCAACACAGTCTTGTCCCAACTATTTGGAATCCGTTACATTAACAGTATTCGTTGTTCTGTATTATCTAAGGCCATAACTTCTCTTAAATAACACACAATCATACAGACAACCATTTCCTTAACTATAAATGGTTTTCCATTATGAATTTTAAATTGTTATTTTTTTATTATTTTCTTTGTGGGGTCAAACAATAGGATAAAGCTAAACTCTCCTTGATCACATTGAACGAATGGGGGGCATTAAGACCTCATTCAATTTTACTGTCAACTCAACAGAGTCTTGTCCCAACTATTTGGAATCCGTTACATTAACAGTATTCGTTGTTATTATCTGAGGCCATAACTTCTCTTAAATAACACACAATCATACAGACACACACACATGTGCATATATTGCTATTGCAGCCATTTCACTAGTGTAGTCAACAAGACTTGTCAAAGCCTGTCACAGGGCTGAGTCGCACTTGGGTTGGGCAGGGTGGGATATCTGGATTGTAGTGCTATTTTTTTTACCATTACTTATTTATCATGTTGTTCTCTTGGATACACTTCTAGGAGTTTCTGTTAAATTTTATGCCAAAATTTGCTCATTTGTTTTTTGCGTTGTTTTTTCGATAGCATTATAGCGATGTGCTGTGTTCTTCTTTTTAATCTTTTTTCCATTATTACTAGTGTAAAGTAGTCAATAACATATACTTTTACAGATTAATATTTGGCTAAGGCTCTCTGTCAGGTTTAATATTTGGCCTAAAGGGATCTCATATTCAGCAATTCTTTAAAAATACGGGTCTCCAATCTTTAATATTTCTCACCTGTGTTATGACATGGCCAGTTATAATAACGAAAAGTCTTAAAACTTCGTGGTTGTAACTCATTATTTTCATGGCTATAACATTTCGGTTGATGACAAGGTGAATGGCTATCTTTTCCCAAAGGA